GGTCAGGAGATCGAGACCATCCTGGCTAACACGGTGAAATCCCGTCTCTTCTAAAAATACAAAATATTACCCAGGTGTGGTGGCACACGCCTGTAGTCTCAGCTACTCGGGAGGCTGAGGCGGGAGAATGGCGTGAACCTGGGAGGCGGAGCTTGCAGTGAGCTGAGATTGCGCCACAGAACTCCAGCCTGGGCGATAAAGCGAGACTCCGTCTCAAAAAACAAACAAAAAAAAACAAAAACGCCGCATTCACGCATTCATCACCTGTTCGTATGACCTGATTCTTCCTGAATGCTGGACAAGAATTCAGGACACACTGGGTGCGGGAATCCAAAAAGGGTGTCATGCTGATTCTTCACTGAGCTGTTGAACACTTAGCCATCCACAGACAACAAAGCTAAAATAGCATTAATTGTGACACACCCCTAGACACAAGCCCAAAGGGGCTTGCCTGGGTGCTCCCTATCCTGTAAGGGGTTTGAGTGCAGAAGCCAAGTAAATGAGCCACACCACACCCACGTCAAGTTTCACAAAGGGGTCAAGGGAACTCTCTTGTCTCAAACATATTTGATTTTAAATAACAGACACTATTTTTATACATACTATTTCAATTTAACCTTTCTGTAGGCAACTATATTTACCCTAAGTATTTAACAAATTATCACTAGAGTCTATGTCTGTATGCACCATGAACCTTGAAGTAAATCATTGAATAATTTATACTCTAAGAAAACTGAGACATTATAGAATAACCATTCTGCTTTCTTTTACAAACTGTGCTACTTTAAAAAAGTTACTCTTTTATTTCCTATGTGACTTTCTCTTGTCAATAAGTAAGATTTCCTTAAAATAAACTTTTTTTTTTTTTTTTAATTCACAAGAAGTTTCAAAATAGATGAAATGTCCTATGTACCCTTCACTCAGGTTCCCCCAATGGCTACATTTTATCCAACACTGTCAAACACTGATGGTACTGAACCAAAACCAGGAAATTGACATTAGTACAATATGTGTGTTTAGTTCTAACTCATTTTATCACATGTAGGAAACAAGTCATTTTATAAGTTAAAAAACTGTAACAATAACACTTGTTGCTTTCTAAAGCATTTTGGAACTCATTGAAATATTAGCTGTAAATCAATTTTTATGTTTCAAATAATTAGCTATTGCTGCACAAAGCTTTTAACAATTTCTGAACAGTCTAAAGTACTCCTGAGACTTCATATACTAATAGGCTGAAAGTAAAATAGGTTAATTTTGTTTCCAGCTAATATAATATGATATTAATAAATTAAATATCAGTAGGAGCACAAATCACTTCTTCTAGATAGTATTTAGAGTGATTTTCTATAAAGTTTCTAAATTGGATAAATCTGAAAGGAATTTAGAGTACACTGAGTAAGAGGTTTAAGGGAAGGAAAGATACAAAGCAGGAGAAGCAAATATATGGAGGAGAAAGAAGAGGAAGAAAAGAGGGAAAAAGCAGAAGGAGGGGAAAGTGAAAGAGGAGAGGGAAGGGGAAGAGAGGAAAAAAAAAAGTGGATCCATCATATGGTTAAAAAAAGAACTCTAAGATGAAAAGAAAAAAAGATAAAGTCTGACTATGAATGCAAGATATAAACAACCCAGATATCAAAAGAGATAATAAAAGGTGCAAAGGAGAAAACACAAGAAAGAAAATACAACTAAAGAAATACCAGAAGCATAACAGTAGGAACATGGTATTAGAATGTTGTCACATGAATAAAAAACTTAATCTTGAGGGTTCAAAGACTGGATTTAACAACTCACTACATTAAGAAATTCATCAGTGAATACACAATATACAAGTCCTTCAATATCTTAATGTGTATTGTACTGTGATCAAAATTCCATCCTCGAGTAGTCATTTTTTTCATATCACTATCAGGATAACTTTATTTTTAATTCATTTTTTTCTTATAATTTGTGATGCTTTTTGCATTTTATAGAATAATTCCAAGTAGGCATGAACTCACTTTGTGAAGGGTATGACTTGCCTTAAAAAATTAGAGAAAATATCAGAGTATAGCATATTATGTACGTATGTGTGTATGAATATATAAAGTAAATTATATGTACTTAATATATGCTATTACATAGACACTACTCCATCATATATTTATTTTATATCTTTGGATTATAATAAAAATTCTAACTATGGATCATGGCCAAATATTTGAAAGACACTGCTAAAAGACTGATTTTGATTTAGCATCAGGGTTGAAAGCTTTTCCATACAGTTTTATTTACTAGTCTTAAGTCATTTAAACAATGTGCTCTTATTTTTTACTTAGTCAGGTAAGATGCTACATTGGCATTGTACTTCTTTATGCTATAAATGAATAAGTGCATGAAGTAGTTGAAATAGTTCTACTGAAAATAATATTGCGGCAAAATTAGCTGTCCTATGAGCAAAGAGGATTTTGTGGCTTAATCAACTCTAAGCTTCAAATAACCAATCACTCTATAAGACAACTTTGAAGGAGGAGAGGGCTGGGGACTGCCTATATACAATTTTATTCAATATAAATTTTTCAGAAATAAAAGTTTTAAATGAGATATTCATATTAACAGATTAAATCACAAATAATTATGTATAACATGCTCTGAAACATCATGATTAATTATTATTTCAGGTAAGAGGTATCCTAAAAACTCTATATTCATCAATATGTTATGCAACTATTTCAATTCCTCATTCTTTTACAATCTAAACTCATATATTTCTAAATTATTTAATGAGTGTTATTTTTTAAATGTGGTTTCAATTATACCAAACACAGAATGTACTTGAGTCTTTCAAAGCTATATACAAAATTTAAAAATGTATTCTTTCATGCATTTATTCAATCAATACGTATTGAGGGTCTTCCCTCTATGTGCCTGGCACTCTTTAGATGGATATTTTCTTATCCCTCCTTTGAGTCACCATAACAGGTAGCAAAATGTAAAGAACAAACTCACAAAAAAATACATGTAACTTGGAAACTTGGGGACTACTTAATATAAGCAAGTCATTTAAACAAACTTTCAGCACCACCCATTATATAAAGAGGTTTGTAAAACAAATGGACTCTCAGCACTTGGCATTTCTAAAATGTTATCAGTCACCATAGCCAGTATATGGATGTCTGCTAATTTAATCCAGTTATAATTACCTTCATATTGGGAACATGTACCACATCCCCATACTGGTCTTTTGTTTGAACAGTTATGGTGGTAGGCCAACCACAACGAATATCATCCTTATTCAGGATCAAAGATGTTTTCTGAGGATCAGCATATGAATCTGGCTGAAGCCACCTAATAGCAATGAAAAACAAATAAACAAAACCCCAAACACCGATCAGCATCTTCAACGATTAATATAAAATTAAGCCAAATGAACAAAACTTGTCTCAAACAAAATGCTAAAACATTATCTTCATTTCCAACTCAGTGATAACCTTGAGTGTCTCCCTTGGAAACTGTTAAGGACAAATTCATTTAAAAAATATGCCAAAGCACAGGAGATTTCTGATATTTAAATACAGTATAAAATACTTTTTAAAACCAGGAAACTTGAAATTTTAACTATGGCTAATTTAAAATCACCAAGAACACGATGTAGGTTGTGTATAATTTGAAGTCCTGAGCAGGCTCACTCTCTCTGAAGGAGCTCCGCCTTACTCTGCCATCCGGGAAGCCTGGGAAAAGCAATGACTCTGTAAAAGCAGGGGTAGAAATGTCCCTCTGCTTGCCTGACAGCAGCCAGGTTCAAGGTGTACTGCCCAACTTTTTATCACAGTTTCTCAACTATCTTCCTCATTACCTTGCTTTCCACCTAAAATGCATCAATGTTCTGTAATTTGTGATGTCCATTCCTGAATTCATTCTGTAATCTACACATTCAAGTTGTCCTGTGAGCTGAGTAATAAGTAATTCTACCATGCATTACGTAAAAATATCTGCACAGTATAGTAGTGAGGCTGACTTAAGTGATTGGATATTCCTCTCCAATCACTATTTTGTGATTTTTAAAAACTAAAGAGTAATCTCTGCAATTTTAAAATTAAAACCAGAAAAAAGTTGGGATTTTTATTTTTTATTTTTTTACTAGTAAAATCAGGGAGGCCAAAGTATTTTTGTCCCTTTTCATCCTACAAACAAAAAGCAACAAAAATAATCAATTAACAACTGTAATACATTTAATTTAATTAATTCATTTTTTTTTTGAGACAGGGTCTTGCTCTGTTGCCCAAGTTGGATTGCAGTGGCACAATCACAGCAACCTCTGCCTCCAGGCTTTGAGCCACCCTCCCACCTCAGCCTCCAAGTAGCTGGGACTACAGATGTGTGCCACCATGCTTAATGTTTTTATTTTTTGCAGAGCCAGGGTTTCACCATGGATTGCACTGGCATAATCACAGCAACCTCTGCCTCCAGGGTTTGAGCAATCCTTCCACCTCAGCCTCCAAGTAGCTGGGACTACAGGAGTGTGCCACCATGCCTGGCTAATTTTTGTATTTTTTGTAGAGACAGGGTTTCGCCATGTTGGCCAGACTGGTCTCCAACTCCTTTGCTCTAGCAATCCACTTGCCTCAGCCTACTAAAGTATTGGGATTACAGGCATGAGCCATCACACCCAGTCTTATCATATACTATCATAACTATTCCAACCTGGGCAACATGGTGAAACTCTGTTTCTACAGAAAATACAAAAAAGAAAAATAGCCAGGTGTGGTGGCATAGCTGTAATCCCAGCTACTTGGGAGGCTGAGGCACAAGAATCACTTGAGTCCAGGAAGTGAAGGTTGCAGTGAGCTGAGATCATGCCACTGCATTCCAACCTGGGCAACAGAGTGAGACCCTCTCTCTCAAAAGCAAACAAACAAACAAACAAAAAAACTACCAAACAAAAACATTAACTGTCATTTTATATTTCAGTAAGTTAAACATACATAAACCAGACTTTTTAATTTTTTTTTTTTTTTTTTGACAGAGTCTCGCTTTGTCACCCACGCTGGAGTTCTGTGGCGCGATCTCGGCTCACTGCAAGCTCCGCCTCTTGGGTTCACGCCATTCTCCTGCCTCAGACTCCTGAGTAGCTGGGACTACAGGCGTCCACCACCACGCCCGGCTAATGGTTTTTTTTTTTTGTATTTTTA